CGCAACGTCGCACAAGCCGATCTGCTGTGCCAGGGCAAACAAAATTACGCCAGATGTTTCTCGCACCAGAAGCAGCTCGATCCACTGTCTCGACTCAAGGTACCCATATCACGCATTTCCTGGCCGGCAGCGAACGTCCGTCTACTAGTGACACAAACACGCCCCTTAGGACCTCGTACCCCAGTCTCCATATCTATCCTACGACTGCTCGTACCAATATCGCACACGCACACTCTCCCCACCTTCTCTGTGTAGAGCGGAAGCCTAACCCAGAGGATGAAGCACGGCGACGTAAGCTGTCATGGTACATCTTCGCAGCTTTCTGCCTCGTGCCACCCTGCATTCTTCTCTTCCGTTTCTTTGCAGACAATATCATCGCCTCGTTCACGGAAGGCCACCTGGGCTACTGTACGCCACACTCAAAGAGAGTAGCGCTTATTGCTGGTATCGCCGTTAACGTTGGCCTTGTCACTGCAATCCTGGTCCCGGTCCTGATCGCACATGCACTGAACGCTGTATGATCAGAGGTCATCGGGGCCAGCGGAAAATAGTAAGTAGTTTGTCGTTTGGTCATAAAGTACGCTAACAGTAATCAGCAGCAATGCTAGCGATATTGAGCACAATCAGGAGCGCACTGAACGGTATCAACGAAACGCACCTACTATGGTGTGACAAGACATGTTAAAAGTCTTTTATTGGCACTCACTGCACATTCATGGATTGAGTTGCCAGCAACGCCTTTGTTGCTGTATTCATTCCCTCTGAGTAAGTCCTTTTCTTTCTCTATGTTATGTTTTGCATGAACTGGCGTTCTTTTTTTTGGGCATTGGACAGAGTCATCCGGCTCATCTTACCTGTGGAATGTGTTTATATGGATGCATAATTTGGCGACGGGGAACACTTTGACGTGTATGTGGGTTAGGATCGGCATTTCAGGTTCGGTCATCATAGCTCGCTGGCATTTTCCTCTAATGTCTTCCACGCTTCGTCGTAATCAGTCTGGTTTGGCGATATGGTCTTGGAGCATGTCAGGGGTGCTTTTGGGGGATATGGTCTACTAAGGCGAACAATACGAAGAAAGTAGTAGCAATGCTGCTCCAGTGTTTGTCTGACGCTTGTGCTTTTACAAGATGATACCTTTCTACTTAAGAAGGAAATTTACTAGGCAAATCATGTGATTCTTTCCCACGCCATACTTATGTGCTTCTACTATAATCGGCTGTTTCCGCAGATATAAGGTTTCCGCGTTGTGTTGGCGTTTACGAGTTGACTTCGAGAACTCTCGTCCGGCCCATCGAACAGCAGATGCAGGTTAAGACTCGCTTCAGTATCATACGTGCGAGCTCATTCGAACTTTCAGTACGTTCTCGTCGCAGTCGATTGTTTGTATGCTGTCTTGATGATTGGTGGATATGTCGATGGAAATTGATTTTGGTGTACTATGGGGTATGCTCTCGTCAGACGTGCTACGTGCAGCTGGAGGCGACTGCATCATAGTTTGCTGAGTCTTGCGTGACCTGATCTCTTTCCACACAAATCGAGCCTGGTTGACTTGTCGTTTTATGGTGATGGTCATCTTTGATACAGCCCATGCCACAAGGATAGCTATCAGTACCAACTGATAGTTTATACTACCCGCTACAACCATCAGTGCGGCGGCTAATGCACTAAAAACTAGGGATATAATCGCGACTTTCCTGGTCACTTTGGACTGGACTTGATCCGTAGGGTCTCCGAACGGGTTCGAGTCGTCAGTTTGTGCCGATTCCGCTGTTCGGACCTGTAGCTCGGATGTAGTATTGTTCGGAGGTGATTTTTTTGGGTCATCTATCGGCTGCGAAAGTTCATGGCTTTGTGGAAGGTGGAGTCTAGACGATGTGCTTTGCTCTTGACTTGGTCAGTAGAGCGGCCATGAGATCATGGAAGGTACTCACCATTTATGAGTTCGGTTAGAGTAATTAGTGGAAGGACGAGTAAACCTATAGCGACGACTTGACCGAAGCCAAGTGTTGTAGTCTCATCCTCGACGTCGGTACCCCATGCATCAACACCCCATACCGCTTGGATCGTATTTGTCGTCCCATAAGCAAACTGGAACGCCCATACAGGAAGTTCAGAAAGATACGCCTCATGATACTGCTCGAGGAAGTACCACACCGATATGCGTGTTTTGGTGTTTGATGGTCTGATTGCGATACCATAAAGACGACGCGCATCTGCGACGATGTTTGCGGACTCTGATATGGAAATGTTGTTCGTCCAGCTCCAGAAGTACATTGACATGCGATCTACCATTGTCGTAGTAACATGGCGGTGGTGAATGGCTTCCGGAGCAATCAATCGAGCCATAGCTGAAAGATGTTTGCCCCATAAGATTATCAATACAGGGACGACATTGATCATGAGGGTGCTGATCTGCAAAAGTCCAGGTTGTGACCTCCAATCCAACAATAAGCAGTGGACGATCTGATCCTGCCACGCCGGCAGATGATCCACGAGAAATGCGAAGGTAAAGAAGACAAGAAATATAAGCGTGAAAGTTATACGACAGTACCTGACCCAAATGTGCTCAACTAGGTAGTTTCGTAGTACATCGAGTGATAAACTGTGCGTGGTAGCTGAGAAATAAGCTAATGATGTAACTATGTGCCACTCACGTTGAGATATGACACATTGACTTGAAAGCGCAGCAATCAGTATGGACAATCCAGTTATGAGTTGTTGGTCGCTCAGCATCTTGATGAAGCTGACAAGAACATCGCTGCGCCCCTGTCGTCTCGACATCTGTATTGGTATTGGGGTTTCCGCGCCGACATGCCTTTTATCTCGCTTGAAGGGCTTCTTGAGCAGTTTGAGTGCATGCTGATCAGTTTCCTGTAGCAGACCTGTAGGTAAGGTTGCAGTCAAGTACCCCCAAATCACCACTAAGAAAACGACCAAAGCGCTGAAGTAGAACGATACGAGGACCTGTCTCTCAATCAGCACAAAACTTGAGTTGAGAATGCATCACTCACCCCAATACCTGCGATATCTGCGTTGAACTTCAAGTCCTTTGTGCACTTTCCACCGTTTCGGATGTTGCCACACGCAGCGCAATCCAGGGAACTACCGCAGTTGCCCATGGTCGTAGTTGGTGAATCAGTCTGCGGATAAACTGCTTTGCTGCTGCGTGAGACTAGGGTCGCCGGTTCGCGTCTGACGGCAATCCTTGAGGGGCTGAGAAATATCGGCAGCTACAACGGTAGATCTCAGCAGTAGCTAGGATGTGTGACGACCACAATGTCATCATTAGTGAACTGAAGAATGTGATGTTACGGCATGGTCTTGTTACACGATGTGTCGAAAGGAGCTGTGGAATGAACTTATGGGTTGTTCCCCATCAGCATCTCTGCAATCTGCTCAACAAGGTTGGACTTACGTGAAATGAGGCCAGGCCGTGCACGCTACATGTAGGGCCGCATAGCTGCGATTGGATGATTCAGGCCCCAAAGTCTATTTCCGACACTATGTGCTAGCCCAGCAATGGATTCAAGATTTCGATAGGTACCTCGACTTTATTAGTTGATATGCAAATGATCTGCGTACCGGTAACGTAAATATCGCCTGAGGTCACGCATCGGAATGCAGTGAACACCGTTACAGTCCGATGCTAAATGATCGCACGGCTCGTCTTTATGTACCAAAGGATTGCGCTGTTTGGACAGACTCCTAGAACGTCGGTTTGGGAAAGCGTGGAAGTGGAGAAGGATTCTCGAGCAGGTAAAATGGCTCGCTTCCTCATGGGATGCTGAGTAGCGCGCCTGCTAAGGAGGGTAGGCGGTCGCAAGAACGGACAATATGCTTTTAGGCCTGCTGGAGGCCTGATTTGTATGGCAAAAATCATTGGTTTGTGCTTCGGGTAGACGGCCGCTTTGTAAATTCGCACGTCTCGGGGGTGCAAAGCCATGTTAAGACACTATTTCAATCAGAAAGAGAAAAACAAACAAACCCGTGCATAGCTGTCAGCTTCGCAACAAACCTTCATTCCTCCGTATGCTAGTGCATCCGCCTGCGTTCAGGCAGTGTATGTATAGCCCACAAGCTGTCCAAGGGAAATCGCGGAATGACGAGATGGTGTAACATTTACAGAGATACAACTCAAAGCATCTGGCAGCATCTGGCAGCATTATGGTACACGAGAGACTGATGTGCTGAGGGTTGCGATCGAGAAATCCTCCCTTCAAATATGGGAGGATGTGTTTTCCGTCGTACCGGCACCGGCGGATCAAACCCAATATCCGCTTCAGCATCTTTCTTGCATGGGAAACCAAATTCTACTTTTCTATCTCTCGCATTCGATCTCTGCACGGTTGTGCCTACTAATTGTGTGGGCGAGATGATTCGTACACTTGTGTCGCTCGGTTGCGCCGAATAATCCGTGATTTGACTGCTTTGTTGCAGGATACTGAGTTGAGAACTAGATCGCTGTTTACGACACTCTTGGGCCTTCTAGGTGATTGGCTCTGGCGAAAGGCTGTGTCAGCTGGGTTACAAGGTGTTTGAAGGCTGGGTCGGTAAAGCAGGTCGCATATTGAGCCAGCGACCCAGAGCGATCGCGTCATCGCCGCAGGTATACACGCAACATCTGCATCTGTCATCAATGCCGTCATATGCTTTGAGCGAGCCTGTGCCAGCAAGAACTGTGGTCCCTCTTGATGTTACGCATATGAAAAAATTGGAAGTTGAGGAATGAGGAAAGTACTGGCGATCGTGACGTCAGCGATCATGCGAGTCATGCTAAGAGGCGGCCGTTATCGTGACCGCAATGCACATGTTGATGAGAGATATCTAGAAATAGTGTTACTCTGCAAGCTTAGTAGGCTGAAATCACAAGTTCAGATTGCAAATCATTCCCTGCATCACTGGTTTCTGGCACAGATCGTCATGGTTGTTTGTTCATCAATTCATTGAAAACAGCGATAACGCTGGCTCATTAAAAGCCATATTGGGTATTTAACATCTTACTCCTTGCTCAAGTCCGCAATCTGCAGCACAGCCTTACCAAAGTTCTTGCCCTCTAGCATGCCAAGGAAACCATCGACACCGTTGTCGATGCCCTCAGTAACGCTAATCTTGGCCTTGAAGGTGCCCTCGCTGAGCCACTTCTGGAGCTTCTCCTGGTGATCCTTGTGGTGCTTGGGGCCCATGTTGTCGTCGCTGACAATGAAACCACGCATAGTGAGGCGCTTGGCAACGACTTGCATGAGGTTACGGATGGGGTATTGCTCGCCGGGCTTAAGGTTGTATTGCGAGATCATACCGCAGGCAACAATGCGACCGAAGTTGTTCATGGCGTTGATGGCAGCCTCGAGTTGCTCACCACCGACGTTCTCGTAGTAGATGTCGATACCGTTAGGGGCGAGGCGGGCGAGCGCGTCGGCAGCCTTCTCCTTCTTGTAGTTGAAGCCATGGTCGAAGTTGAGCTCCTTGGTGATGAATTCGAGCTTCTTGTCGTCACCGACACTTCCAATGACAGTAAGACCTTCGTGCTTGGCGAGCTGGCCAACTAGTTGACCGACGGCACCAGAAGCGGCGGAGATGAAGATGGTTTCACCCTTCTTCGGTTGGCCGATCTCGTAGAAAGATGACCATGCGGTAAGACCAGGCATACCGAGGGGGCCGAGGAAGTACTTAGGGTCGAGGTTGTAGGGGTTCTTGAGCTCGATGCAGTTGGCGACAGCATCCTTGTCGAGAACGGAGTACTCCTCAATAGGGCTGATTCCCATGGTGATAAGGGTTTGGCCCTCCTTGAACTTGTCGCTGTTTGACTTGACGACCTTGAAGATGGAGCGGTTGGTGATGGGCTTGCCAAGCTCGAAAGGAGGAGAGTAGGACTTGACGTCGGGAGCACGCATGCGTCCCCGCTGGTAGGGGTCGAATGAGGCATAGAAGTTCTTCACGAGCAGAGCACCCTCTGGGAGCTGCTGCTCGAGGTCGATATCGCGGGCCTCAACAGCGAGGTCCTGCCCCGCCTTTGGCCATCCCTCTGGCACGTTCTTGAAGATGACTCCCTTGTTCTGAACCATGGTGATGTGTATGTGTCGTGTTTGTTGAGTATTAGAAAGGGATATGTGGGTATCTTGGACAATGTTGTTATAAGGTAGTGTGATAGTTTGATGAAGAGGGAGACGTCAGTAGCAACGAGCACCTGGCTATATAGCTACAGCAGTTTCTAGCTTAGAAATTGTGATTTCACCGCCGAGAGAAAGACCCTGATTGCATCATGAGGGTCCGGAGGCGCCGTCCAGGAAAGCCTTGCCGTAACGTTGCATATCGGGCAGTTACCGGCAAGGGGCGCAACAATTCGTCCGACTCTAGAAGCCACTCTTCGGTCGAGTGTCTCGACGCGGGGCACGAAACTTGTCGCAAATGCAGAATCTTCGAGACAACGTTGAACGACGCGAAGCCATGACGAGGGTCGCGCCGGGAGTTATACGCATTGGGGAAGGTGCCCGCAGCGCTGGCAAGGCTGAGCCGAGGCAAGTGGGGCGAGATTGGTAATGGAGGGGTTTAACTGAGAGTAACCATGGGTTCAATGCACCCAGCGGTGAACATGGCAAAACAAAGTGTTGAGACGCAAGGCCTGAAGGACCGTCGAGACATGCTCATGATTTGTCCCTTGCATTTACAATCACTTCAGAAAACAACATCGAGAAGAGAGAGTCGTCTGGAAAGACGTTGTACGAGGAGCTTCATAGGAATCGTGTACAATTTGTCTGACATCCAGACGTGCATGCGGCGATAACTCTCGAGCTAATATCCGGCGAACATGCAAAGGCATGTTCCGAGTATTCGTAAACCATACTAGTTCTTCAGGACCGTACCACGACTACCCCTAAGATGTCTGACCGGGCAAGCCTGGAGGCAGATATCGGCGCCTCTAATAAGCGCAACCTAGAACAACCCACTTCTCGTGAGACAGTATACCGCACGCTATCTTCAACAGCTTATGCGGAGATGGATGTATCGGGTATTGACGCTATCATGCGGATGCTGAGCGGCTCTCACTCGTCGTCCTCCTCTTCTCTGCTATCCACAAAGAAGTCCCCCTCTTCCTCCTCAGGCTCCATAACCTTTTCTATCAACTTCAGTGTCTGCCGTAGAGGTAGGCCAACAACGTTGTCGTATGATCCTTCTATACGCTCGATGAGAACAGAACCAGCTGTCTGTATACCGTAGCCGCCCGCTTTGTCGTTACCGTCGCGTGTTCTGACGTATGCGAGGATAAGCTCATCGGTAACTGTGCATGTTAGCGCTCAAGTCAATCGTAGCCAAATTGGAAGATGTACCAGTAGAGTCGAACTTGACCGTCGTCTCCTCCACATGTGTTTCCATAGCATATCCCGGGTCTACTGCTGATTCTAATGGCTTCATCACCGCCACAGCCGTCATGACTTTGTGCTCGCCCTCATCCCGCAGCATCTTCAGTGTTGCTATGTGGTCTGCCTCACTCTTTGGCTTCTCTAGGATTTTGCCAGCGTGCGACACTACGATGGTGTCGGCGGCAATGACTATGGCTGGTTCGCCGCGCTCGCGGTTGTTGATCTCGGTCTTGTATACATCGTGCGCTTTAGCCGACGCGGTTTCGAGGACGTAGTTCAACGCGCCGAGCGAATGGTCTAGGTTTTCGGCGAACTTAGAAGGGCATACGTCAATCTTTGTAAGGCCGATCTAAAAGAAGTCAATCTTTAATGAGTCTAAATTCAGGTGGATATGTCCTTACCTGCGCGAGAAGTTGTCGTCGCCGTGGTGACGCACTCGCAAGCACAACTCTAGACCCCCTCAATTCATTCAGTGCTGGCAGGTTGAGTGGTGGAGGAGGTCCCGGTGGAGGCCGTTTGCCTAATGGTACGCCCGACGCCGATCTGTTGTGTGGCAATGGTGACTTTCGTGCATCTTCGTACGAGGGCGGAGGTTCAGACGGTAGTAGGGGCTCTTTGACGTCCATTGTGGCAGTTAAATTATGTGTAGTGATCGGACAGTGTTTGGAGACGCAAATTCAACAGTAAAACCCTAAAGAATTCAAAAGGGGCTGCTGGTGTAGTGATGTTAACGATAATCTCAGAAGGAGACATCGAGTTCGGAATGCTCAAAAGGTCCAAGCTCCTGCGCCACTTGCCTCCCCCGACGCCGCTCAACTGTGCAACTGCAGCGCAGATCTCTACTTCAGCTCTTCCTCGAAACTGGCACCACGTTTCATGACGATCCATGTACTCCAAGAAACAACACAACCTCCGAGGAAGATTTCTGAATGTATTAATACTAACGATAGTACTAGGCAACGCGTACGCGACGCGTTTTAGGGCCGAGTGTCATGACGATCAACGTACTCTGCCAGAGTATGAGCATTGGTGAATATGTAGTGTCCAGATCTTAGCCTATCAGCTTCTTCTCATCAACATGAAACATCTTGATGATTGAGTCGTATGCTTCTTCAAAGTCGATCTTGTCTATCTCCTTTTGCATCTTCGCCCTGCTCGATACGATCTCTTTGGCAATGACGGCCCAGTCCAGAGTGTCACCATCCACGGTCGCTCTCGCATTGCTGTCTACTTGTATTGGCAACAGCCTGCCATCCTTCTTCCTCACAATACCATCGACAATGACGGTCTCGATGTCTGCCGGGCTCGAGTGTAGGATAATCGCAGCGACTGGGTCATGTTGTGCCGCGCCAACCATGCTGGGACTGAGAGCATCAAAGATGGTCAGATCTGCCTTGAAGTTTTCTGCGATGCGGCCAATCTCGCCACTCATGTTTACAGCCTCTGCACCTTTGATCGTTGCCAGATTGAATGCGGCCTCGACGTTGAGACTTTCTGGAAGTGGTTCGGGGATCTTGTCTTGCTTCATATGGTATTCGTTATAATGGTTACGCGCGTCTTGCAGGCCGAGCCTTGCCTCAGAAATGATGGAACCGGCAGTGCACGAATGGCAATCAACGCCAAGCGCGGCGTTGTCCTGCAATCCAATCGAATTGCCGCTTATCCCTCCATCTTGAAAGGACGCATCGAAGCAGTAAGGTCTCGCCATGGCCATCTGGAGTTCGGTGCTTGGAGTGGAACTGACGAACGCCCCAGCGGCCTTCAAGAGCTCGGCATCAGCCTTCAAGATTGTACCACCATGCGAAATGATGATCTTCTCATCCAGTAGATCGAGATTTGATGCTTCTTGTATCACGTTGAGCCCCAGTGATACAGACCCGTGGCAGGTAATTGTCTTGACACCCTTCGCATTCACTCTGGCAAATATACCCTTGACCATGTCCGCGGGTAGAAACCAGAAATCGAAAGCGAAGCCGAGGGCTACTCGTCCATCTCCAAAAGGCCCGCTGTCGGCAAGTTCGTCAAAGGTTTGCATCACCCAGTCTTCGAAAGGATTTGGATTGAAGGTGAGGGGATTGAATTGGGTGATGAGCATCAATGGGGTGTAGCAGAATACAGATCGGATGCCAGAGGATGCAGTAGCCGCAATGGCAGACCTGACGTGCTCCGGTGAGCGGGTGATGTGTGCATGATCAACCACCGTGGTTGTGCCAGCAGCTATGCTCTCCAGCATACCTGCGAGTTGGCCGTAGAAGACATCTTGGGGCGAGTATTGAAAATTCTGTGAGTTGCCTATCCTTCGTCAGAGAGAGACGTTATGATTGAGCCTCAAACTTTACCAGTAACCATGTATTTTATCAGTCCCTCGTTGGCATGTCTGCCCTTGAGCTGCGTTTGCCAACCATGCCGATGGGTATCGACGAAGCCTGGGCTGATGATCTTGTTGGTGCAATCGATGGTTTCGACTCCCTGGGACGACGTAATCTCAGGCGCAACTCTTTTAATCCTGCCATCTTCTACAAGTATATCGGATCTGGTAGGGACTATATGGTTGTTCGCGTCATGAATCAGGGCGATACCGCCTTGAAGCAGAAGAACGTTAGGTGCCATTGCAAGGGTTGCAAGATCCAGGAGTAGTTGCTGCGCTCGCAAAGCTGTTCAATGCCAGTATTTCCCTTCGATAGGGTTGAACATCTGCTGGTAGTTCCGTGCTCTGTGTAAAGTTGAAGTTCTTCAGCTCTTATTTAATGAGGTGAGGTTCTGCCCGATCTCTTGACAAAGTGAGATGCCGCCCGGCTTAAGGCTGAGGTCATCATGAACAATTGGCCCATAGCCCCTCATCTCGCTATTATCGGGATGCGAAGAGAGCGAGGACCGGGTTTACATGGCGTTAAGGTAGCCGTTGTACAAACACGAACTGGCTTTAACAAAACAGAGTAAGCATCTTCAACTTGGATTGTTGCCTGGCTAGCTTCTAGAGCGGTCATGGGAACTGTGCTTCGATCTAGTGGTTTCTCATAACTCGAAAGCTGATCTAAGAGTTACACTACAGATCCTTTGTCGACATCAAAGCATGTTGTGGCCGCATGTTGGTGTTGAGATCAGCCGGTGTTAGTTTTCGGACAGGATCGATGACGTAATCGGGTGGTCCAGTAGCGCATCTTCTTTCGCGCGATCGCCCGAGGCTCCTTTTCCTACGATGGATCCGCGACGTACGTCTACCCTTCGCGACGCCCTGTTTGCGCATCTCAGAGACCATTATTGGGGACCTATCCGTCGTGTCAACAACTAGTTATGCCACTGACAGCAAAGGATGCTTCAACCTGCAATTTCACTAACATTTGCCAGATCACGCATTATCGATCGTCGTTTGCGTTATCAAGAACCTACAAGCACGCCATGCTTCACCTCCCTTCTTTCCACAATCATTTATCTTGATTAAGATATACCAAGACACTTGCCATTTCCAACACTCGTGTGCACGCCCATTGCTTGACCGGGCAGTGACCGAGATGAAATCCCACGAGAGACCATAGTCAGGCCGTCGTGGAAAGGCCGGGGCACGATCTAGACAAACTTCAGAATCTCCTCGGCGATGTATAACCAGTGGCGCATAGGGCTGGGTTGGCCAGGTGTCTGGGACAAACCGCCACTCGCTTCTCCCAGTCTTATGGGGATTGGGCTTTCTACTGCGTCGCGATAGCCGCATACCATGCAGGTTCCTTGCTGTTCCAGGCGTTCGGTGCCTACCTGATCTCTATCGTTTGCCCTTCTCGCGTGCCACGGACTGTGCCGAAGACCAATGGCATCCAAGAGTCTAGGATAGCTATACATTGGAACATACGGGCTGAAAAGGCTAGCACGGGCTAGCCTGTAAGTAATCTGAGGATGTGCTTCTTTTACTGAAGACCATGTCGATTCACCGACCGGCGCGAACCTGACCAATGCTTCGGTTGTCGTACTATTGCGATGTGAATTTACGTAACACGGGGGTTTTCAGCGAGTTCAGTTGGATGCTTCGTCCTAGGATACCATCAAGTTGAGCTCTTGACTGCGCAGCATTCAAGCTTGAGTCAATCTGAAGCCTGCCTTTTACTGGAAACGAGGCCGGAAACGATACACAGACCATCGACCTCATAATCACACTTGTAACCTCGCCAACACTCAGTTCTTGCAGAGTATCCCGGAGCTTCGCTGCAAGTCCCCCAAACGCGTATACACTGGCTTCCTGGTTCGCGTTGCCATCAGAACATTGTGGCAACCCCCACATTCGGACGGCACGCCCCGAGCTTCGCGAATGCGTACGGCAGGGCATGCTTAGAGAGACTTTTAGTCGGTTGCAACACATTAGCTCTTCCAATCTGCCAGCTTGTATGTGACAACCTACATTGCCGCTCTTCGGGCGCTAGTGTGGCTGCAGGCATCTGATGCCAATACCGCCAACCGAGATGTCGCAATCCTTGGCATCAATTGCGAACGTTGAACGAACAGTACGCAGACGCCAGCCTCCGCTGAGATACTGCAAGACTGGGCGTACCCACCCCCTCTTTGTCTTGTTAGCAATGCTCCGACCACAACGGTGGAACGTGTTAGATCAAGAGGAGATCGTATGAATTTGTTGCATGATGATATGTTTGAACACTTACGAAGTAAATGTACTGCAGCCATGGCCAACCAGCGACCCCGGATCTCCCACGCGATCCACCAACGCCTCAAACGCCATATCTCCGCCTTCGGAAGCCCAGACCTTACAAGCTCAACGCTTCGTGCAGCCCAGCCTGCCAAATTCCTCGTCTGCCATCTGCCAATATTTAGGATTTTACTCAACGCAAGCACGTCATGATCGGGCGCTGTTCTGTGATGGTGTTGCTGCACTGTGATTTGTACGGAATGCTTCATTCACGTAGCCTGCCCACGCCAAGCTACATGTGCCGTCTTGTTGCACGTCAAGTTCTTGGAATGGCGTCGGGCCATCGCAGATGCGGCTGTGCCTCCGCCTTGAATCTGGAACGATATGGTACTTCTATTTGACCGAACTTGACGTTTGCCCATTACTTCTCCACGGGCGCTCATCCACAAAGCGTAGTATAAGGTCACCCTCTTCTCTCGATCTGTCTCAGCGCCAGGTCTTACAGATACTCCAATTCAACATCCGCGATTTTTGGGGGTTATTTTGATTCCATCTGGAAGCTTCCTTGTCACCTTGAATCACCCGCTGTTCACGGAACCTCGGGAGCCCAGGGCACAGCCTTCACTGACAACGTCCGCCAACATGGCTTCAGCTGGTCGCAACGCGGCCAAGGTCCTTGGAATAAATCTTGACTACCGGAAAGAGCCCGAGGTGTCTGGCGCCGCGTCAATATCTTCTGTGGAAACATGTGAATATTGTAGGACTTATCGATCGGCAACAGCTAACGAAATTCAGACGTCGAACGTGAACCTACCGCGATAGAATGGCTCTCTCAGTTCAAGCCGTCAGCGGCCGCCACAACGCGTTACCTGAGGAGTTTGTTTCCCTTCTTGGACTGGATATTCCACTATAACTTGACATGGCTATTTGGAGACTTTATTGCCGGTTGTACCGTTGGATTTGTTGTCATTCCTCAAGGCATGGCATACGCTCTGCTTGCGAAACTGCCTCCCGAGTATGGCCTCTACACAAGTTTTGTTGGCTTCATCCTCTATTGGGCCTTCGCTACATCCAAGGATATCACCATTGGTACCGTCGCTGTCATGAGCACCATCGTCGGAAATATCGTTACCAAAATCCAGGAAAAACAACCAGAGATTGAAGCTGTGGACATTGCTCGAGCTCTATCCGTCATCGCTGGTTCTGTTCTACTTTTTATCGGTCTTACACGGCTTGGAAGGATCGTCGAGCTCATTCCTCTTGTTGCTATCACCTCATTCATGACGGGCGCTGCTATCTCGATCGGAGCCGGCCAGGTCCCAGCACTAATGGGTATATCTGGCGTCAACACACGCGGTCCTACATATCTGGTCGTCATCGACACTCTTAAAGGCCTTCCACGCACAAAGCTCGATGCTGCTATGGGTCTGACTGCTCTGTTCATGCTATACGCCATCCGTATATTCTGCAACTTCATGTCGAGGAAGCAGCCTTCAAAGCAAAAGGTCTGGTTTTTCGTAAGCACACTGCGAATGGCTTTCGTCATTCTGCTATACATTATGATCAGTTGGCTTGCCAACAAAGACATCAAAGGCCTTCATAATGCTAAGAACGATGTCAAGATGGCGAAGTTCAAGATCCTCGGTCGTGTACCAAGGGGCTTTCAGCATGCTGGTGCTCCGAACATGGACACGAAGCTCCTCTCGGCAATTGCACCCGATATCCCGGTCACGATTATCGTATTGATTCTCGAACATATCGCAATCTCGAAGTCTTTCGGACGAATCAACAACTACGTCATCAACCGTAAGCAACAATAACAACTATCTGATTACATGAGTGTACTAACCACATATTCTAGCCTCGCAAGAACTGGTTGCTGTGGGCTTCACGAATGTGATCGGTCCATTCCTTGGCGCCTACCCTGCTACCGGGTCATTCTCGCGTACTGCTATCAAGTCGAAAGCAGGTGTCCGTACCCCACTTGCTGGTATCTTCACAGCGATCATTGTCCTCCTGGCTTTATACGCTCTAACCGCAGTCTTCTTCTACATCCCTTCAGCCGCTCTCGCTGCCGTCATCATCCACGCTGTCGGAGATCTCATTACTCCACCCAACGTTGTTTTCCAATTTTGGGAAACGTCGCCTTTGGAGGTTGTCATCTTCTTCGCGGGTGTCTTCGTAACAGTTTTCACGAATATCGAAAATGGTATATATGTTACCATTGCAGCTTCATTCGCACTTTTGCTTTGGCGCCAGCTGTTCACCCACGGTGCCATTCTTGGCAAAGTCCGCATCTATCGCGCCACCCCGGAGACGATGGCCAACAAGCAAGACAGCCATTTCATTCCAGGCTCTGATGCTTCTGTCCGAGAAGCCTTTATTCCAATTGACCGCAAGGATGGCTCAAACCCGCTTGTTGATATTGAGTCTCCGTATCCCGGTATACTGATCTACCGCTTCACTGAGGGCTTCACATATCTCAACCAACAAGGTTACATGGACGAAATTGTGCATCACGCGCAGACAATCTCTCGTCCAACAGAGCTTAACAAATACACAAAGATCGGTGATCGACCATGGAACGACCCAGGTAGGTGGACATATGCATTGGGTGCGATTCAACGTACTGACGTTTACAAGGTCCGCGTCGCGGAAAGCAGCTGAATCTCGATGATAACCGACCTATCCTCCGTGCGATCATTCTGGACTTTAGCGCTGTCAACAATGTCGATGTTACGTCGATTCAAGGTCTCATTGACGTGCGCGCACAACTAGATCGTCATGCAGCACCCGAAACTGTAGAATGGCACTTCGCGTCGATCAACAGCCGCTGGACTAAGCGTGCTTTGACAACTGCTGGCTTTGGTTACATCGACCGCGAAAGGTTCGCAGCACGTCAGCATTGGAACCCAGTATTCAGCTATGCACCTCTCGATAATTCGGGCGCGAAGCTACACGACGAAGAGGCGCAGGATGA